TTTTAAAATTTTTTATAATGTCAATTTTTTATACTTTCAGTATCTAAACTCATGTTTAATTCTCGAGCTGCCAAAATAATGCATGTTGCTGTCCTACATCTATTTGCTGCCGCCCTCTTCAGCTGCTAGCCTGACTGTTGCCCATAATCTCTCAACTCCCCCTCCATGTCAACCTCGCACCAACAGCCCACGCGTCGGTTCCCACTAGAGTGATAGCCTTCGTTGTCAGCGATGTCATTCGACGGTCCCCTCAGTGTATGCCAGATCTACCTCCATTTTCTCCAACATATTCGTTGAGCGATCGGCCCTGGTTGGTTTGTTCCCACAGTTACTTGTTGCTTGTTCTTTCTGACAAGCTGGCTGGCTGGCCACTTCATTTTCAGTATGGCGCCAGCCAGCGAAGGTTGCAGCTGTTGATTATAAGTCTGTAACTTGTTGGAAATGCTTTTCATGAAACAGTGGTCAAATTTCTGACCAGTATTGAAGAAGTGACTGACTGACTTCACACTTGCGTTGAAAATCCTAATCTTGTTCTTTATGCCGGCTGAGTGCGATGCAGAAGATTTCAGGTTGATGAAGGCGTATCTGGCCTTTCCGATTCTGGCTGGCCTACTTCGACATCTTCATCTGTCCTGGCTGCCTGTGGTTGGAACGATGCTGCCTGACCAGACAAATGAAGCAAGTAACCTCTGTTAAATCTCTCCCGTTGATAGTGGTCGGTGCTGGTTGTTGTTGCTGTTGATTGGTTATCTTCATCACCTAAGTATTCTCTATGTTCACCTGCAGTCCTGTCTTTGATGCCACCTAGTCTCTTCTGTCAGTTTGTCGCTTTTCGTCTGCAAGTCTTCCAGTTTGTGTGACACTGAACATAAATCATTCACCCGCGAAATCCATATCCTCTAGGGTCTTCTCAGCAGTCAGTGAAGTGTATTCCTGTCTTCCCATTGCCAACGCACAGTTTGACGCATAATCCAGTTCACCACATGGCATTGTCCTATAGCCAACTGTTGGATGAGGTTGATAAAGACTCGAGGTACGCTGTAGTGTTGAAGTATTCTCCAAATTACTGCCCGGTCAACGCTATCGAAGGTCTTTTCGAAGTTGATGAAGTTGAGGTGGAGGTTTGATTGCCATTCCGTACTTTTTCTGTAATAACGATGCGTAGAGTTGCAATTTGATCAGCATATGATTTGCCCGCCTTTCTTGAATCTAGATTCTTCCGGACTGGTGGAGTTCTGTATCCAGTACATCCTTTATTCATTCGGCGATGGTGCGACTTATTGTTTTACTTGTCGTGAACAAGAGCATTATTATACTCCAGTTCTTGTAAAGTGATGCGTAAGTAGCCCTTTTTGGCAGCCTGACGAGTTAGCCTTTCCTCCAACCGGTAGGTACTTCCTTCCTTTCCAAACCTTCCGCAATCGTGTCAAGAGAACATCTTCCCCTGGGTGCGTTTTCAGTGCTTCGGGGTGGGGGAATTCAGTCCGGTACTGCTACTCCCCAGCCGGACTCCTGTAGCTTGATTGTATTCAGGATTTCTGTTTCCGTTGAAGTATAGGTGTCCGCTGACAAGCAGTTTTGTGCGTACTGTTGGTGGCATTTCTGGGAGAGTTGCAGGTGATGGTCTGTTCGAGAGTCCTCTAAAGGGATCAGCCCATCGTCTTATTTGTTTCTTCTCATTGGTAATCAGGTTCCGTTGAGCATCTTTTATTGGTTTCATCATCTGACTTGATTTCTTACCAAATAGCGAGCAGCCTGGTTATCTGATATAATGTTTTGAGGCCACTTTTACCTGTGGCCTATTCTTCTCCAGTTACCAGTGTGTTGAAGAATTTTCTTTTGTCTTTCCTGGCACTCTTCATCTTCTCTTTATTCAGTGAAGTGTATACTGAACTCAGCTTTTCCTTCAGTTGTCCATCTCTGCATTGAATCATCTACTTCACCACCCTCCTCTCCTCTCTTCTATTAGCTTCCAGGTAGGTGTCCGTTGACAGTCATTCCTTGTCTTGTCTCGTCTTTCTTCCTAAGACAGTCGTACACATCTCCTTGAATATCACCTTCAGAGAGTTAGTTCCAATGTTCTTCCAAGCAGGTTTCCTCGTTGATAACACGAAGTGTCTCCGACTTTGCTCTCATCTGATCTGTAGTGAAGGTGTCCTCTGTAGTTCTGTCCTTCAGTTTCTGAATGCTGAACTTGAATTCTAGCCTGTCTCCAGTTGTACTGTAGGATTTCAGCTTCACCTTGAAGGTTCCTTGTACTAGATGATGATCTGAGCCCACATCTGCTCCCCTTCTCGACTTTGTGTCCAGCAGGCTGTGTCTCCACTTCCTTGAGCAGCATTAAGATGAAATCTATGTGGTTTGTGGTATGTACATCAGGCGAAATCCATTTTGCTTTGTGTATGTCCTTGTGTTTGTACGTGCTACCTCCAAGCACCAAATTGTTGAAGATGCAGAAGTCTGAGAATAGTTCTCCGCTCTCACTCATTTCTCCAGGTAAGAGCCTCTTGATCCATGATGAGTTCTCTTCCTGTATTATCCGCCCCCAGATTGGCATTCATATCGCCCACCATTTTAGAAGTTGTCCATTACCGTTTGTGGTTGTCCGTAAAAATCTTTCTTCTTCTCTTGTTTCCCGTTGTTTGTAGCACCGTGCGTAACACTGAATAATTGTGGCTCTCCTTCCTTCTTTCCTTTTGAGTAGAATCTTGCTGTCATAATCCTGGATGAAACTGGTTCCCCCTGCATTAGGGCTGTTGTTGCCACTGGCCACATCATGATAGCCAATCACTATCTCAGTGTGTTCGTGGTTGCCGTCCACGTGACCAGAGTAGGTTACCAACTCTTCATTTGGCAGTTTGGATAATCCACATCCGTGCCATCTGCTTTCACAGATATCATGCACTTCTATGCCATATCCTCGCATTTCTTTGGCTACTTGGGGAGTCTTCCCAGTATCGTACATTGTACGGACATTTCACGCCCACATTCTTATTCTTGGTTTCGTCGAGAGAAGACAAATTGGCTGGCTGAATGGCTTCCCAAAGGCTTTGATCAGCCCACGTCATTTCGCCTCTCTTATTCGAGCGAAGAATAAGGTTGTTATTAGAATGTTTTGTATTTCTAGTACTTTTTTGTGCGTTGAAGCTTCTGTAGCAGTTGGATAGCTTTTGTGATGTGAGGTTGATGGCCCAACACGCGGCCGCCCTTCTTTATCTGGTCATGTGACCGGCTAAAATCTAGCAAGCTAGTTAACTAGACGGGGTTGAGCAGTGCTAAGAGATGCCGAAATTACAATTATGACATAATTTTTATCAATTGATTAAGAATATCTATTGAAAACTTAAATACTAATTGGCCAACAAGCTGCATTGGTGGCACAGTGGTTAGGACTCTCACCGACCATGCACATGGTCCGGGGTTCGATCCCCTGCCGACGCACACTTGAAATCAGTGGTCGGCCTGCAAAATTCGGGCTACCGATATCGCATGCTGAAAATTCCTTACTTGTACCAAAAATACTATGTGGAATCAAGCTGTAATCAAAAGTAATAAAATCCCTTGCCGTAAATTATATATAGGTCTTCATCGGCGCCTGTCATGTATCTTGGCCCCAATGCCTACTAAGGATAAGGTAATTAGAGGTGATAATATGGTATATCCCTTTTTTGAAGTGAAGCCACCCGTCGATATTTTCAAGTTTCGATAAATAGCCCAAATAGAATCGCATAATTTTGTGAAAATCCAGAAGTGGACGCTTAATTTCTGAACTTACTTCATCGCTTAACGCATTGCGTTGCTCAGAAATCAGTATCAAACGATAGAAGTGCAGCAAATATCACACACTTCAAGAATATAACGCCATCGATAACATGTATGTCAAAAAAGCTTTATGGTGCGAATCTTCATTTAAAAGGCACAGGACTGCGTCCAAATGGCCTATCCCCTTAAAACTCCATACACCATTTATAGGTAGACAACTAAATCCGTCATTTCACTTCTTTACATTCTCTCCCGTCTTAATCTCCTGACAACTCCAACTACTGCATTTACCATTATTACTGATAATATATATTTATATATATCAACTTCAGATGTAATTAGCTGCCTGTTTTCACGTTTTCTTTATTTCTTTTTCTGTCTTTTAGTCTGAATAACCTACACTAATTACATTTAATTACTGCCTACAAAATAACAAATGATCAGAACCACCCAAACAAAGGTGTCCTGCCGTTGAGTAGGTATAGGCTTCCTCGTGGAAATCCTAGAAGGATAGCTCATCAGAGGGCAAGGGCCCGGGTGCGCTCCCACTTCTTTTCCCTGCGGATTTGCCATCCCTGGACTTCCTTACCGGCAGATGTAGCTGTGGCACCGTCTGTGGACGCCTTTAAGCGAAGGCTGGACAACCATGCAGCGACACAAGGACTGCATCCAAATGGCCTATCCCCTTAAAATCGTTTACACCAATCAAAGGTAGACAATTAACCTGGTCGTTTTACTTCTTTACATTCTCTTCCATCTTACTCTCCTGACAGCTTTAACTACACCAGTTATTATTATCATTATTACCGGTATATATGTATATAAATACCGGCTGACTGACTGCTGTTACGTTTTCTTATTGTTTTTCTGTCTGTTAGTCTTAATACCTTCACTAATTATATCTATTATTATTATCTCTTTTCTATTGATGACGATACCGAAGGACCAACTGGTGAAAGGATCAACTCCATTCACAATAGTGACAATCTTAACACACCTCATACTACAAGCAACATATAATGAATCCCAGCACTAATCCTTTTGGAGTCAACCGAAGCTACAACAGTCGAGTGGCGAGCTACGCAGAAGTTTACCAAAGATTAGGAACTTATGACTATCAGTCAAGAGGCGAGCACAAAGAAATCAAATTGGTTTAAACTACCTTGTAAAAACGATATTGGATATTGGATTGGATATTGAAATAGTTTTATTCAATTGAAAATGATGATTGTTGTTAGGACACACTATTGAATGTGTCACATTTGATGGCTGAAGTACACTGTTTTGGACAAATTTTAAGTGGACACGGATTTCCAGGGAAAGACCTATTCTGCAAATGGGGCCTTAAATTCGGTATGTGTCCAGGTTATATCTCAGTTAACAAGGTGGTGCTTGGAGATTAATTGAAGGCACGAGCGAAGGAGAAACCCAAGTTGACTGCCCAATAGTTGGTGAAAAGGCTTACTTTTGTCATCCCATAGATCTACATTTTGCAACCAAAGGCTTGCAAGGTTTGACCGTATTATATACTTACGTAAAAATAGGTTGGCCAAAACTACACTTCCAAGTATGGCATCATGACTGGGTCGGGAAAAATGAGCTATTCGGATATGGATTTTGCCACATTCCAACATCTCCTGGTAATCATCAGGTTTGTTTCCTCTCTGTCCAAAATTATTGAGTAGGTAACGGTTCCTACATGGAGACCTGTTGGCTCTGTTCTGGAAACTCTAACATCAAGGCTAGTTGGCGGTGGCCCTCATCTTCGTAGACCAGATATTGTCTACGATCCAACTGACAGATTCCTCCTCCAGACAGAGAGTATGGGTTACTTGACACTGGATTTGAATGTTATTCTGAGAAATTTCGATAAATTTGGCGTGGAAATGTGAACAATATGTTACAAAAACCGTTGTGCTCTACCTAATATCCTAAAATACCGCCCATCACCTGAAAGCTTCCTTGTATATATAAATTCTTTAGAATTCAAGGCATTTATATCAAGTATTTTGTTAGTTTTTGGCAATTCTTATAATAAAATGACTCTTTCAGACCTACCTTTCTATAGTCTTGTTTGGCAAAAATTTAGATTATGAGTTGTATTAATCAGCCCTTGTGTTTTTCTACGATTATCATGGTGATGATAAAGGAGTAAAAAATATGATTATGTCACTGCTACCTGGTACTTTAATTAAAAAATCTAGACCTATTTCCTAAGTTCAGACTGTAAGAGGTAAGGTGTTATTCCTAAATATATGTAATTGGGTTATTATGATCTATCGAAGGGACTATTGTACCACGCTTTATCAAGACTAAAACTATCTGAGTAGGTAATCTTAATTTGTTCCACATTTTATTGACAAAAACCAAGTGATTTGCTTTATTAATTTACATGAGTAGCAAGTAAATTTTTACATTTGAATAAAATCAAATACTATGCTTTTAACTATTGGCTGGGTTGATTGCAGCACCAGTTATTGTGTCTGTAAGAATCAGAAATTCTTTTACTGAACTGGTTTAAACCGTCGCTCATCCAAGTTTATAAAAAAAATAGCAAGTCCTCTTATAATAAGCAGGTGGAAATCACCGTGACTAATAAAATAGCATGTAACATCTCATAGAACCATAGTCAGACTAAGAATAAGAGCAATAATTGGGTGGATTTGAATCTACGGTATGGCTTGATTAATCATAATCCAACCCGCAGATAGATTCTAGATAATGGACATATACTTACTGGCATCCGAAACCTCTCATATTTCTTGTCCTTAAGGTTGCTTTTGTCTCTCTTCATCGACTAGGAGTTTGACTTTAAAAGGACTGTTAAGGAAGTACATTGTGCTAATCAAAACACTCTACTAGAATTTATGCAGTCATATGAGAACCAACGGGGAGTTTTTTTAAAGTGAAAATAAAAATAAGTTGCCCTCAAGGATGCTTAGTGTTGCCATTTTTATTCGGCTTCATTATAAATATACTAATAGGTATGACACAATTTGATTTTGATGTGTCAGGAATCGACTTGTTACCATGGTGTAGTCTTGCCGATCGAAAGCGCGCAGATTATTAAGTCCTTCTAACTGAGAACGCTGACAAAACATAGAAGATCCTGCAGTCTCCGTCGACCACTAGTCTGAGGATGAAGATTGACAAGTTCAGTGTGTTAGTCAAATTGCCTACTTTAAAAAATTACACAAGTCCGAATTGCGGAGTAACTGCGCAAATAAATCAACCAGCTCAGAGATCACAACTAATTGCAAATCACCCACCTGAGATACAAATATTCTCCGTTATTTCAAGACTTTTAATCACTTCAGCAACAATGTCACCTTTGGACGCCAAATTCATGAACAGTGTCTTCTTTGGTAGTATGATTTGGCTGGGGACAGTTTCTTTCTTGACATTTCGGACAAAAAACCTTCTAGGGTATCTGTTATTTAAGAGAGGTCTAGCTCAATGTTGACCATATCTATAGGGCAGGTTTTCCTAATTCCAGAACATAAAGAACGTATAAGATTTCCCTTCCTACTTGGAGGTACCCAAATTTTACTTCTACTATCGTTTCATGTAAATCATTTTTTTTTGCCCAGACCTTTGGTCACCAAAACTTCAGTTAGTGGGTATTTAGACTCAACCCGAAAGTTACAGTCTATTGGACAAAACTCCACTCTCTCTTATCATTTAATCATTGGTATTATTTTAGGAGTAAAATGACTATAGATTCTCCTCCCAAGATAAGTAATGGGAGACCATGCACCGTAGTCACCAGAGCTTCAGCCAAACTAAGCAAACAGGTGAATAGTATGACACCTATATCCACAGTAGGCCTTGAAACAAACAGGAAGGCCAATAAGAAACGTTCACGACGTCGCAAGACGACTACAACGTTCCCCAAGAAGGCAGACGATTGCAAGGTCTGCAATTCTATTGTCGAACAAGCAGATTCTGCTTTCGAATGTAACTTTTGTAAGCAATGGGTACATTGTAGATGTGACACCGGGGTACCAAAGGTATATTACGATTTTATGCGTAAGAACCCATGCCCATGGTTCTGGTACATTTGCCCAAGTTGCCGTCCTAATGCAGCCTCGTGTAGTTCCTCGAAAGCTACAGATGTCATAGAGATATCAGGAAAAAACGTGAAACGTTTCACTCCCACCAACTCAGAAAACAGCACAATTGCATGTAAATCGGGGATACCAAAATCCACACCGGTTATACTTGCAATTCCTGCCATAACCGCCCCAGACACAGAGGTTGAAGCACCAAGGGTACCTGTCGCCGGGAAAAGACCCTTACCGTCCACCAGTAAAAGTGGCCACAGCACTGCGACACATAATAATACCCAGTTGCACCAGATGAAACAAAACGGTCTTAAGGGGGATGACAAATGTGCGAGGACCGAACCTAAATCCACGGTCAGTCGATCAAACTGCGTTATCCTCTTTAATGTACCAGACTGTAGCAGTAGTCTGCTGGAAAACAGGGCCCTGTTTGATCAGGAACAGTGGTCCAACTTATGTAGCACACTGGGTCTGGACATCCAACCAGTAAAACTGTGCAGATTGTATAAGGGCACTGCTGCTCCTCAAGGCAAACCATCCCCACTGAGGGTAACACTAGGCTCTGCCGAAGATGCCGAAAAAGTTTTATTGACTTCCCAAGTCCTTTCTATAGGGAGGACCTGCAATATACGTGTTAGGCCAGATAGGCCATGGAAGGAAAGACAGATGGCGAGGGAGCCGCCAGAGCTTATTCCTTCTGCCTCCATGGTTGTTCACGGCATTCCTGAACTGGAAACTGGGAACGCTTGTGAGAAGCACTGTCACGATGTCCAGCAATGGAGATGGTTGGCATCCCAGATGGGTCTGGGAAGTTCAGGGGCTGTCTCTATTTTTAGACTGCCTCGACCCACTCACCTAATGTCAATTAACACCCCACATCTGTTAGCTGTTAAGTTTAGCTCCCGAGACCACTTGACTACTGCTCTCCAGAGATGGTACGAGACCAAAGACAAGGTCAGCAGACACATTCGCTGCTGCGAGAGCCGGCCTCGTACCCAAAGGAGAGAGCAAAACGTTGTCATAGAACATCCCCAACCCCTAGTCACAATACAGCGGTGCAGCACGAACGATGATAGCCAGTGCCATCCAAGTGCTCCGATTGAATCAGAAGAAAAAAACTCCAACAGGCCGGTTCCCGGGGAATCGGCCAACTAGTTCGTAGGATAACTCCTCAACCGACAGCCCACATCACGTCAACCACCCCCCAATACGGGGACGTGGTGAGACTGACTACCAGTTGCCTGTACAGTAATGTGAGAGGTCTAAGAGGCAAAATAGCTGAACTTAGATACCTACAATCACAGCTGAACTCCAAAATCATAATACTGACGGAAACCTGGCTAACCCCTACGGTGGCAGACAGCGAAGTCAGTATAAATGATATGGTCCTTGTCAGGCGAGATAGGGATCTGAAAGAAGGAGGTGGAGTCGCCATATACGTCGACAAACAGCTCAGATGTGTCCATGCAATCGACCCTCCCCTCATTGAGCTCCCTGACTCCATATGGTGCCATTTCACCGTTGGGTACTGTAAGTATCTAGTGGGCAGCATTTACAGATCACCTTCATGTGGAGCAGACCACAACCAGGTACTGCTGAATGCAATTTCAGCGACACATGACCTGGGTTATGATCAAATTGTCATAGCTGGAGACTTCAATGCCCCATCTCTTAACTTGATGACGGGATGTGCCCAGGACAGATTTGATCGAAATCTGCTGCATACCATCACGGAGGCCGGATTCACCGAAAATGTCAGAATGGATACTAGATGGGGCCCAGATGGGAAGTCTTCTAGACTGGATTACGTGCTCACTAGTGACCAGCTACTAGTGGAAAACGTTCAGATCACGACTCCCATAGGTAGTAGTGACCATGCGGTCATAACATTCGACATAGTCCTCCGCGAGCGTTTACAGTGGGACAATACACAGCCCTATCTGTGTTATAACAAAGCCAATTACACCGAAATGCGAAGACTTTTGTCTGAAGCAAATTGGCCAAAAAATTGGACAGAGCTTACAGTAGAAGAACACTGGAGAGTGGTAAAGGAGATCATTCACCAGGCGATCTCAGACACTGTTCCTTTGGTCACACCTAAAGCTAGAAAGCAACGTTCATGGCTAAAAAGGGGGACACAACGCCTTCTACAGGCGAAGCGAAAAGCCTGGTTTGCGTGGCGAGTATCGCAGAGTCAACCCGAACATGAAGAGTACCTCGAACTCAGGAATCGGTGTAACATACGAGTCCGGAGTGATAGAAGGACATTTCAGAGAAACCTCGCCAATAAGCTTCTCGTGAACCCCAAAAGCCTATACAGGTTTATGTCTGAAAGAAAACCGACCAACCAGGGAGCTTGCAACCTAGTGGGTTCTGATGGGAAATCTCTTACTAGTCTTGAAATGGCAGAGACATTCAGTCTAGCCTTTCACAGGCAACTGAACAGTAACGAGGATTTTACCCTCACAAAACATCAAGATTACAATGCAAGACCAACGTGCGAAAACCTGCTGGGTACATTTCAAATTACCCCGGCTATGGTACTCATAAAATTGGGAAAGTTGGCTTCGGGAAAGTCTGCAGGTTGCGACGACATAAGACCATCCGTCCTGAAGCAGTGTTCAGAAAGTCTCTGCCAACCCCTAAGTGATCTGTTTCAACACTCCTTTGATGTAGGGAAACTTCCATGTGAATGGAAACGAGCCATCCTATCCCCTATCTTCAAGGGTGGTGACCGGCAGAACGCGACCAGTTACAGACCAGTTGCGCTACTCCCAGTGATATCGAAGATATTCGAAAGTCTCATTGACGACCACATGAGAAAATACTTCGACGGGACTAACCTACTCCATGAAGCACAGCATGGTTTCAGGAAGGGAAGATCCTGTGTGACGAATCTTCTACTAGCTTGGAACGATTGGACACTA